CCACCAGCGGCCCCCGCACAGGGACTCCCCCCCTCGCGCTCGCCCTCGCCCACCCCCCCACCTCGCGCGCCACCACGGCCAGCTCGCCCTCCTCCCCGACCACGATCTTGGCGCCCAACGCCGCCAGGCGCCCCTTGCCGATGCGGCCCACATCGTCAGTCCAGTAGTCCACCAGCTCGGCCTCGTCCCCGGCGTCGTCCACGTCGATCAGCTTCTTGGCAGCTGCCACCCGCAGGTCGCTGTCAGAGACGGCGAAGCCGCGGGAGGGGAAGGCGGCGGGGGCGACGGCGGCGCCGCGCTTGCCGCGGATGAAGGCGGGGGCGGCGGCGACCTTGGCGGCGCTGTTGGACTGCGGGCGGGGTGGGGTGTCGCCCGGTTTGATGCGTTGGGGTAGGATTCAGTGGGTTATGCTTGGTTGTGATGGTGTTTGACAGGGGGGGCCCCTTTGCGTGGTCAAACGTTGGCGCCCGTCGCCTCGCTAAGGTCGGTCGCAGCGTCTGGTTGCGGACGGTCGCCGCCGCTGCTGCGATGGTATGGCTGTCCCTGTCTCAGGCTGACATTACTCATGCAGGATACGCTCACACCGGACGATGCACAAAACTTCCACACTCATGCACACAACACATGACGCTCGAAACTTTCACACTCATGCACACACGCGTACAAACGCACCCACACGCACACGAGCGCGCGCATACACGCACCTGCGAGTAGTACACGGCGGCGGTGGCGTCGCCGGCGGAGGTGACCACCACCTCCTCATCGGCGTCTGCGCCCTCGTCCTCCTCGAAGGACGAGATTGCCGCGTCCTCCTGGGAAGGGCCAAGGGGGCACGGTTCAGGTTCGAGGGTTTAAGGTGCAGGGGTTGAGATTCAAGATTCACAGGATTCGTGGGGCAGCGAGCGGGGTTGCGTGCACACGTACATACGTACGACAAAGGGAGCAGAGAGATGGAGATATCGTGTGTGCATGTACGTGCGCACACGGCAGCAAGGATGTGCACGCGCCGGCGGGTGTGTTTTGTCAATCAGGGACAGCGGCAAAAGCCAGCTGGCAGTGTGCCGAATGCTTGTGCGGCCAGCCATCACAGCTGCCGGCCCCAAAAGAGCCCTACTCGCCCCTCGCTTCGACTGCGCACCCCAAACCTACTGCGCACTGACGCCACCCCCATTCCCCCCATGGCACCCCGGCTCCCCCCACAACAATACCCCACTCCGACGCTGCGCCCGCGCCCCGTTGCAGCACCACAGGCCCTAGACACTGGCAGCAGCCGCCTCTCCGGGACAGCCCCTGTCCAGAGCGCGCCCCTAGCCCAACCCTCCCCCCCAAAAGGATATTCAAACACATCAAAGAATGCAGCGGCCTCACGTCGGCCTCCGCGCGCGCCAGCAGGCGCTCCTCCTCGTAGTCAAACTCCTCGCCCTCCTCGTCGACGGCGTCATCCAGCGCCAGGGATGACAGGTCCTGGGTCAGCTCCACCTTGGTGCCCTCCAGGCCCAGCACGAAGCAGCTGATGGCGTCACCCACCTGTGGGGGGCGGGTTGGATGACGGGTCACGCAGCGGAGGACCGGTGTCGGGCAGGTTCAGGAGGGCCGAACGTGGAGCAGAAGCAAGGCCCGCGTGTGCGCAGGCGCACAGAGGCGATACAGGCAGGAAGGGGCAGGACAGCAGTGGCTGGGAGGCTCCGCCGACATCGCGCTGATGCGCGTATGCGTGGCGGTCCCGCTGACGGACCCACGCACCCCAGCGCTCGACGGCCCCCTAGCACCCACACCCGCGCCCACATCCACAGGCCCAGGGTCAGGCCTATGCCACCCATATCCCTCCAAAAAACACACGCACCTTGTAGTACTGAGACGGCTTGTCGATGCCGCCCACGTCGACGTACAGCTCCGCAGCATACTCCCCCTCGTCAGCCAGCAGGCCGCCGCCCTCCTCGCCCTCCTCGGCCTCCTCCTCGGCGCCGGCGGCGGCGAGCTCGGCCTCGGCCGCGGCGGCCGGGGCCCGCATCTCGCTGACGTGCAGCAGGCCGCTGCGCTTGGCGCCGTCGGCGGAGGTCCACTCGACGATGACCCCAAAGTCCTCCACGCCGGTCACCTTGCCCTGCTCAATCAACAACGGGCAGTGGGTTGGTTGGTTGGTTGGAATCGAGGTGGGTTGCGCAGCCAACTTCGTCTTGTACCAGCTCAAGACATGCTTCATGTTTTCGGGCACCACCCATTGGCCGCAGGGGCAGCAGCCCAGGGCAGCAGCCTGCGGTCAGCCGCCCGC